CTCTCTCTCTCTCTCTCTCTCTCCTCCCTCTCTCTCTCCCTATCTAGTCCTTCCTGCAAAGGAGCCCTGCTCGTGGCTGAGCGCCGGGAGGCTTCGGGGCGGGCGTTCTCCGAGATCAGGAGGAGGTGGGGGTGAGGCTGGTAAACACAGCCCAGGCGCTTCCAGAATGTCCCGATTCAGCAACTTTCTTTTCTTTCTTTACCCCCTCTTCCCCTTTCGAGGGCAGCAAGGGAAACCTTTGTGATTTGCTCCTTTTGAAGTTTGCTTTCCTCTTTGCCTGGTCCCCTCCTGTTTATAATTTAAGTTCTCCGGAGCAAGCGGACTTCCCACTCTCTTTACAAGAAATGGGATTTCTCCGGGTAATCAGTAGCCTGGACCATTCTCATTCTTAGGAAATCAGACTTCTTGCGCGCCCTGCTCTCCTCCCCTCACACCCCTCCCCCAGTAAACATAGGTGAACACGAGTTCTTAACTTTCCAGGTTATTGAGGTTGGTTGGTTGGCTTTAAATAGCAAATTGGAAACCTCCTCACTTTTTTTTTTTCCTTTGGTCACCACCACCACCACCACCACCTCCCGCTCCTGTGTCTTTTCTCCTTTTCTCTTTTCTCCCTGGGCTACCCCGGCTAACTCCTCCCTCTGCACCCCAGTTCCCAACGCTGGCCCCTTTCATTCAGGTAAAACTGTAAATTTCCCAACGTACCATTGTTCCTCTGGGCTGCCCAGAGCTCCCTAGAGATCCCCGACTACTCTTTTTTTTTTTTTTTTGGTATTTAAATCCCCGATAGATAGAACCAATGTAAATTTTGTGACATTCAAACCTTTTCTAGTTCACAAATCAGTCACCCTTGTCACAGTTATTGAAATTCCGCAACTCGCCACACCAGGACGGTGGAAAAAGCGGGCGCGGTCTTTGTTGCCGACCAAGCTTTTGATCGCCAGAGAAAATTTACTTACCTTCAGATGAGTGAGCAGAAAAAGAAATAACACTCCCTTTGATTTAGTTAGGAAAATGCGGACATTTGGATTCAGTGCAAACATACAACACTCGCTTGTTTTCGCGATGAGGCCCTCGATTAACCTGTCTTTGCCCAGCGCAAAGTCTATTCAACAACTGCGCGTAGTTGCTTTTTGTCCCGTCCACAAAGAGCCATTGACTATATATTAAAATGATTGTTGAAAGGTAGAGGACTATGGCACTTAAAAGCATGGGGGGAAAAATCTCTGTGACTCAATCAATTAAGCGGAGCAACATTTATGCATTTCAAAAAATGCACGCGGATACGGGGGTTGGGGAATGGAGGGTGCATTGCTCCGCAGCTCTGTTTAAAATCCAGCAGCCGGGCCGAGGGTTGAGCCCAAGCGCCTGCATATTCATTAGGTCTAATTATTTTCTAGTAAGGAAAACACAAAAAGCCAAGAGTCGGAATCCTTCAATTTGCCCTTTGTTTCTAACTTCATTTGGCTTCTTTGCAGCTGAATCAAAGCCCTAAACTCTTTTTCCAGACAAAGAAACCTCAACTCATCCTTTCACAGGCAGCCCTGTTAGGAAACTCACCAGTGCCCGGGAGAGAGGAAAATGAAAATGAATATATATATATTTTTTTCTTTTCTTTTCTTTTCTTTTTTCTTTCTTTCTTTTTTTTTTTTCCTTTTTTTTTTTTTTTTTTTTCTGCCCTGTTCACCAGCGCTGGTCACAACGGCTGCAGGAAGGCAGGGTCCGCGTTGGCAGCTCCTGGACTCTCTGCTTTTCCATCCTTCTCATCGACTAGATTGGCCTTTGGGGTTCGCCAGCTGGGCTGTCTTTTTTTCCCCTGAAACCTCAAGCTGGCTTGTAGACCCTGGATGGTTTCCCGAAGTCAGAAGGCAACGTGGCCGAGCCCCGAAGCTTGTGCTGGGAAATGGAAATTTGGGAAAGAAAAAGAGAATATCAAAAGTTCTGTCCCCAGCAACAAGTCTGAGTAAAACTGTTCAACCTTCCGCACCAACTTGGAGTTGAATGGAGTGTGGAGTGGAGGGAAAGGGCTGGGCTTGAGGTGTGTGTGTGTGTGTGTGTGTGTGTGTGTGTTTTAACTGTTGAACACTTTATATAGATATATAAAAAAGATGCATCCCGATTCCTCATTCTTTCCTGTCACCTACAAGGGGAAGTTGAACCTTGCTTCCTTCCCTTAGTGTTGCAAAAAAACCTTATCTGCAAAGAGAAGTTTCCCCGGGAGACTTACCACTCTCGCCAGGGAGAACAAATATTGAACCCACCTCGCCTGCCTTTCAAAACAAGGGAGGGGACCTGAGGGGGAAGGGTAGCTGTTGGGAGGGGGAGAGGGGAAAAGAATTCTTCAAAAAAGAAAAGTCAGTCTTCTCTCCAGTCCGTGGAAAATCCAACAGGGACATTGACAGGAGGGTATTTTTAGGAAACGCATCCAAACATACAGGGACAGAGTGAATGTGAGGGGGGAAAAAAAAAGTTGTGGGTTGTAGAAGTTATCAAGTGGGATTTGCGGCGCTCTCTGCAGGAAATGCGAGCGGCTCCAGTTCAAAGCCACATGCACCAACGTGACATATAAGCCATTAAAATATCATCCTGACGGCTCATTTCTGCTTCGTCATACATTCCCTAACTGCTTTCCGAAAGCTGGAAAAGGAGAAATGAAGGATGACCGCTTCGATGGAACCACAAAAGAGGGGCTTGGAGAGGTTTGTGGTCCCCCCTCGGCCACCCCGGAGTGATACACAGAAATGAGGCGACCCGGGCAACAGGTGGAGAGGGGTAAGTGCCCGAATCCAGGGGGAGGAGAGTGGAAACAGGTAACCGCAGCGCGAGGAGCAGGCGCCCTTGTGGGGCACCCGAGCAGAGCTGCGGGAAGAGGCCCAGTCAACTCAGACTTTCTCCCCTGTCTCCTCTTTCATTGCGCACCCCGCCCCCCCCCCACCTGGGATGCAGGCCCCACCCCACTGACACTAAGGGGAGGAGGGGACCCTTCCGCAGACGGGTGTTGTTGCGGATGAGTCCGTCCCTTTTTCCCAGGAGGAGGAGGGGACAAAGGGGACAAATGGGGCTCCCACTGGCATGGAGACCAAGAGCAGCTTGTTACCCACCTGCCTTCCCTCCCTTTCTTGTAAAGTGCCTCAGTGCCGCACTGTGGGCACAACGGGGATATCACGCCCTGGGGCTTTTCTCGCCTGGGAGTGAGCGGGGCAGGTATAGGGAGGGGACTCCGGGAGGCACCTTCTCCGCTCTGGCCGCTCTGACCCACGGGCATGGTAAGGAGTGTCTCTGATTCCCCTGCCCAGGGTCAGGGGGCCAAATTAGCCAAGCTGCATGCAATACGGTAGAATTTATGCGCCCTGAGCTAACTGCAAATGCCGGCTGATCTGGTCGGCCTCCAGTGCTGCCTAGGACGCTGACCGCTGGATCGGCTCTCTAGGCGCGGCCAGCTAGCCACCGGTTTGGGGCTGACTTCTTTTCTCTCAGATGCGAATGAAGATCAGGCCAAAACCCCAGGATTCTGGCCAGTATCTCAGCTGCAGGGGCACTGGGGGAACAACTTGGGCTGGCTCAATGGCTGGGCCTGAAAGTTTGAGGTTGACAAATGGATCATAGAAACCGTTGGCAGTTAGCAAAGTTTTAGGAATGGTGAGGAGGGCATTGGAGGGCTGCGCCACAAGAGGCACCTACAATAGCAAGCTCTTTCTGGGTTGTGAGGTCGTATTTCTCCCTGCTTTTTGGCAATATTGGCATGGAAGCAACATACACCGCTGCCGAATTCCCTCTTAATTGTAGTCGCATGCAGATTAGGGTAGGAGGCTTAAAGGGAGTGAATGTCTAGCCTGGTCCTGGAGGTGACTCACTGATAGAGTGGCCACTCCCAGGCTGCCACAACCTTCAGCCTGCAAGCTCCTCACTCTAAGGAGCCGGGAAACCCAACTTCCTGGCATCTAAGGGCCCTCAGAGGAAGGGGAGCTGAGAAGTGTGGCTGAAAGGCTGAAGCCCACTTCCTCTGGCTGGGAAGCCACTTAGCCTCCAGGGCCTTTGCTGTGTGCCCGCCAGAACCAAGCTTCCGCAGATGGGCAAGCCAGCCATTCCAGCCCAGCTTACCGGATCATCAGTGTGCAAAAACTCTGGAACTGGAGTGGCTGCCTAAGGATGACCTCTGACCTGGGGCAGAACTGCCAGTAGGTGAACCTCACAATGAGCAGCCTTCACATCCCAACCCCCTCTGCTCACCCCCCCACACCCCGAAAAAAAGAAACCTGTGTTTGTACATATTTTCCGCCCCACTTTTTTGGTTCCCAATGGAAGGGCACTATCAGTCACTTGGTCCTTCCTTTCTTTCTTTCTTTCTTCCTTCCTTCCTTCCTTCCTTTCTTTCTTTCTTTCTTTCTTTCTTTCTTTCTCTCTCTCTCTCTCTCTCTCTCTCTCTCTCTCTCTTTCTTTCGTCTTCTCAAGATGCTGGAAGGAAAGCAAGATTCCAAGTGTCCAGAACATGCTAACTGGCAGGGTGGGGCGGGGGGAGAACAAAAGTCAAATCCTTCTTGGAAGCGCCAACATCCAGGGCTGGTAGAGACTTCAGGTCCAGGGGCCCAGGGAGTGTGCCAAAATTCCTCACCCCTTGTTCGGTGGGATGATAGGCACGCTGCAAGGTGTCAGAGTATGAAACAAAGATGCGTACTTTGATTCCCTGCACAGGCCGAGTGATGAAGCTATCTCAGGGAAGCTCTTGAGTCCCCTGTTGCTTGGCCAAGCCCGACCTCTGCAATCTTTGCTTGCATGTCTATGGGTTTGTCACACAATAAGGGCTGACAAGACCTGGGGGCTCAAGTGACCAGACCTTTTAGAAGTTGTGCTGGGGTAGCACTGTGGGTGGACAGAGGTCCCTAGGGAACCTCACACCCATTGCCACAGAAGCAAAAAACTAAATTCTATTATTGCCAACCAACCAGGACTTTTCCGTGCCAGACATCCTGCCATGAGGAAATTTCAGAGCGAGGATGCCCAGCATGCCGCCCTTCTGCAGGAATGCAAAGTTGGGCCTCCTTTCTTTCCTGATTTCTGCTGGAAGGAGCTCATTACCTTTGGGAAAGGATGCCTTTTGGTTAGAAAGAATTGAAAAATACATAAAATCCTCTGGGAAAAGGTGAGTCTACCCTCATTCCCTGGCTTGGTCCTAGAAAAGACAGGAAAGGGAAAGAGGAAGACAGCGACAGCTACTTGGAATTCAGGTTGGGGGATGTAGCGGGGCGAGAGACAGAGAAACCTTTGAGCCGGCAGAATGGATATCCTTTGAGATAACAGAGCCCCACTTGGGTTTGGCCTGTGGTTCAACAAGTTAAACAACCCGCTTGTTTTGTGGACTGGAGTGTCAAGCTAGACAGACCTTCTCGTTGACAGAGGGCTTGTTGTGTTTGTCCAGCCAGAGACCTTTTCAATGAATGTTTGCCTTTCCAGGCCAAATTGAGGGTTGGGCTGGGTGGATTGCCTCTGCTTGGCTGTTCTGCCTTCCACCTCCGCCTGATAGACAGATGCCTAGTTCCCTAGGATGATTTGAAGGACTTCAGAAGCCAAAGACTGGGCAGCTCTAGCCACAAAGTAAATCTGATAAGTAATGCATGTATCTGAAGGAGGTGTTACTCCTAGACTTCTTAACCATGAAATGGAGGCAGCCTGGATCAAAGGATAAAAATGATTCCTTTTTAACTGGTGAATTTTATATTAACTTTGAAAAATCAATCAGTGATGGCTCCCAAAGGGGTTGGGGAGGGTGTGAGACGAAGGGATTTCAAACCAGCACAGCCAAACCAGGATCTTAAAAATAATAATAATAATAATAATAATAAAAACCCTTCTTCTAACCTGCTAGCCTCTCAGGAAACAGTATATTATCCCTTTCGTCATATCTTACTAAATTCAGCTAATAACCTAGCAACCTTGAAAAAATAATAAGCCTTTCACACAGTAAATTTAAACTCCAGAACTTGGAGACTGCTGAACACTGATTAGAAGGGTATTTATTCTACCTGGAAGATGGAACAACACATGAATTTCAAGAAATAGTCTAACTGAAAAATTAGGACTTTCAATTTTTTTGTTAATCACCGACAATGTATGATTTTGCAAAGTTTTTTTTTTTATTGCATCCAAATTTGAAAACCTTCAAAGGAAAACCTACCCTCTTTAAACCAGCACCTTTCATTCATACAGTCAGCTCACAGACTCTTGCCACACCAACATGTATGCAATTATGTAGCTAATAACACTCATTTTCCCCCTCAACAGGCTCAAAATCAGAAAATGAGATACAAGTCTTCTTTGGTGATGAGGAAGCGGTTACGGCTTTACCGAAATACCCTGAAAGAGTCAAGTAAGTTAAAATTCTCTTTTGACTACTGGTTTGCTGAAGTATTTGTGTGGTTTTTTTTTTTTCTGTCATTTTAAGGTAGGGTGTTTTGTAGTTTGATCATGTTGGGTAGTGAGTCTGAAGGTGTTTCTTCAGACCAGTGAAGCTTTGAACGACACCTTGGTGTGTGATACATTTGCACACAAATCAACGACACAACATCCCACCAGCAGCCCAGCTAATCCCCCTCAATGCCTACTCATCTGGACGTTCTAGAATTAATATTTGGCGACTCTCTCATTGAAACAACCACCCCTGACCTTCTGCAATTCCACTGTCACATTATTCTATGACATATTCATCTTGAATTCATTTCCGGACGATTTGATCGGAATGAGGTTTGACATGTATCGGCTCCCATGAAGAAGCAGACTTTGATCTTGGTGATGGGGTTCACCTGGTCTGCATCAGCTGTACCAGGACACCAGGCTTGTGCAATGTGGCAGCAAGGACATTCCCACAATGTGGTGCCTGGACAGGGAATGACTGACAGCCACTCTGTCAGGAATACCTTCATTGTGAAGAATTTAATTTAATATTCCATTTAGAATAAGCATATGATTTGGGGTTGGGTTTTTTCCCTTGCAGGCATCTAGTTTTCCTTATTTCAACTACACCACTAGCTAACAGTCATCTCCAAAGATGTTCTCCTCTTGGTAGGCAAAACCACCTTCTCAACAAAAGGAAAGGAATAGGAAATTACTCTTTTCTATTATTTTGGAATGATTTGATGGCAAAGCTCTCAAGAGAGATGTAGTTAGTTATTCTGTAAATTCAATTGTTTGGGTTCCTTAATACTGTTTTGGAAGAGCCTTTGCAATGTTTCCTAATCCTTTGTCTAAAGACATTTTCCAGAAACCTTACTTGGAAATTAAATTGTATCCTAGAATATTTTCTTCTAACACCCAGTCCCATTCATGATAATTAAAGCTAAAATTTCCACAGCAGAGAATAGGAAAAAAAAAATCTCTTTTCTATCCCAAATCCTAATAATTCTCATCTCCTTTGCACAACTTGGCCTTTGCACAACTTGGCCTTGGACTTATGAACGGGCTCCTGGAGCTTACATTATTTCTTTTCATACAACTAGAGGCAAGCTTCCACTGCAGGAATTCTGAGGTCTCTGAATAGCCTCCAAAGAGATGTGCTCCTTGTTTTGGGGTGGCAAGCTGGCCAGAAATAGGGAAGAACTAAGCAAGTGACTACAGAGCTAGACGCAGAACCTTCAGATGATAGAACCTAAGCTTGGCCAAGCTTCAGTGCAGTGACTCTCACTCTTTGAGACTCTGCTCTGCATGTAACCTGAAACAGATCATCATTTAGAATTGCTTAAAAGATCCAAATGGGGGGAGGGAGAAATAGGCTGAGTATTGATGCAAAATTGCCTCTGTTCTTTTCAAAGCAAGAGAGGTCAATCATTTGAGCAAGTGATGGGAGTTTTTGAAGACTGTAGAACCACCAAATGCCACATATTTAGAAAGTAAAAGTTCTTCCCTTCCCCACTCACTTCTTTGTGCATTGGGGCTAGCAAAAGTACTTGAAGCATAAATCTGGGTACTGATTTACAGAGGGTCTGGAGACTGAGGACTAGTGATGGTGTGGTGGCAGAATTTGCTACCAATAGGCCCCCATGGAAGCCTCCAGTGCTTCTGACATCCTTAAGAGAACTCTGAACAAGGTTAGGAGTGGAGTCCGAAAGCCAGGCATTTGGTGTTGGGAGGCAAGTGTGCTTAGGTCAATTTCTGAAAGGAAAATCAGGAGAACCACTGAGGGAATAGTGCTCTTCAACCCTGCCAAGTCAGTCATCTCTGAAACCTGAGCTCCTTGCTTCCTGAGATCTCAAAGCAACCAGCTCTCCAGCATGCCTTCCAGATACCAGTGCCCCAAACCTGTCCTCTGTGGTGAGCTTGATATGGCCTTGGGGCTTATTATTTCTGAAATACAGCTTAAAGAACCTTCTGCATTTGCCAAAATTACTTGTCTGCAAATATTAATACATACAAAAGAGTTGTTCTCTCCAAATTGCTGTCTCTGGGGAAGTGTACTTTTAGAAGAATGTCTGGTCCCATTGCTGTATTTAAACAAACAAGGTGTGGAGCATATGGCGCCAAAGAACTCACAAGACTCAGGTAACTTCAATGACCTGCAGGTCCACTGACCCCTGGCTACCCAAGCGGCATCTACCCGGGGATGGGTCCAGATGTTTATAGCATTTCAAGAAAAAGCTGCATCTGGGAAGGATCTCCATGGGGCCAGGCTACTGTCGGTGAATTTGGCTGAATCAGATGTGTCTGCCCTTTTGCTGCTGGCACAGAAAGTCATACACATGTTCGAAGCTTTTCAAGGACAAAGTTAGTAAGAAAGTGTGCAGTACTGCCAGTGTCTTTGTGTTTAAAATCCTTGCTTCTTATCCTTAAGATTAAGTCATTGCTTAGAAATCTGGGTGCCCATAGATTGAATGGGGGACAATACATCTTTATTTTTACAACCTTCTGATGGAAAGTTAGTGTTTCCTTATTATGAATATGAACAAAGAATAACCCATCAGGTCACCTGCTTCACCAAAATTTCAAAGGAATCCACCTGCTGAACAGCCTAAAACTCCCATTCTGTCTCTACTGTTACATAAAGGTTTGGGTGGAGCGTAGAGTTGTAGTGTTTGTTCGGGTGTCTGTATTGGTACATGTTAATCAAAACTAGATGTTGAATTTCACAGTTGAAGCCTGTTACCTAGGTTCAGGTGGAGAGAAAATGTTTTAACTGCCTGGACTTCTACGAAAGTACTCTTACCCTTAGGCCTGAAAGTCATTCCAGTTGATGAATTTCCTTACTGAGGTAGAGCTGGATAAAGGATCTAAAACAAAACAGATCGTGTGTGTGTGTGTGTGTGTGTGTGTGTGTGTGTGTGTGTGTGTGTGTTTTATTTTGACTTTTTTTGGGGGGGGAGCACTTCAGACAATTGCATCATTTAACAGACACTTCCTGGTTGGAGGGAAGACTTGAAGTGAGTCAGTGAGATGTGAGAACATTCCCCAGAGAACATGGCTGGCCAGAGCTTGGAGAAAGGGGAAAACAAGACAGGAGATGCTTCCCAAGTGAAAGGGAAAAGCTGAAAGTGAGAGTATGAGAAAGTGAAAGCCAGGGAAGAAGGTACACCCTCAGTCCAGTTTCCAAACCCTTGGCTGGGAAGGCACACGTGACCAGCTAGTCTGCTCTCCTCTCCCTTTGGTCTATTGATGTATTCATTTTTCTTTATTTATTTTGAGTGCCCAGGTAGCATCTCTTGCTAGAGTTGATTAAGCTCTGCAGGCTGGAAGAGCAAACCCAGACTAAGCAAAGACGAGAGAAAATGTTGTGGAAATCCCTTACTGAATTCAGCTCCCCTAATGGGGGACAGTGTATTAACTGAAGAACAGAAATCCCCATCCACTATACACAAGTTAATGGTTTTTTTTTTTAAATATAAAAATAGTTATTACTGACCAGGAGTAGTCCCTGGTACTGGGGGTGGGAGAGGACAGGGAGTTTATTTTTGAATAAGAGATGCTTGCAATCTGTCCAAAGTAACTTCTGCTAATGGGAACTGGAATCGTGTACCCAATCCTTAAAATTTTTGTTAAAAATCTGAGGCTTTCTCCTCCTGAAAGCACTTTCCGCCGCCAAAGGGAGGCCTCTGCACTCGGGCCTTCGGTTCAGGCGAGCAGGCAGAGGTCCGCTGAAGCTAGCTGCCCCAACGGCCTTTTAAATGGCCTGGCCGGACGGTACAGCTGACTCTAACCGGTGAGAACAGACAAAGGACACTCCCTCCCATTTATGACACACTTGACTGGGTCAGAACTGAAGTTTTTTCTTTTCTTTTCTTTTTTTTTTTTTTTTTCCCTTTTCTTTTTCAACCGACCACTCCCTACTCCCCCACCACAGCGGCGGTGGCCCCTGCAGCAAGGGCTGGCGTCCCCGGGAGTCGGTTCTGGGCGCTTGGTTATCTCAGGGCCTGAACGCTGAGCTGAAACGTGGCGCCACCCTTTACAGAATCCTGTAGCTAAAGAGGAAGAGGCAAAGTCCGCCGGCAACAAGTGGCCGAGCTCAAAGTGGAGAGAATCCTCAACTCCCCCTTCCCAGTTGTTCCGTCTGTTGACGGGGTACGGGGTTCAAGAGCCCAGAGCGGGCAGCGGGGTCCTGGGAGAGTGGATCTGGCCCTCCTGGCCGCCTGTCCCTTGGCTTTGTGTGGCAGTCCCGGCGATCTGTGTTAGCGAGAGCCCTTTCTGGAGGACATGCAGTGTGTTCAAGGCCACCGCCGCCCCGGACCGAATCTCAGCTTCGGTCTGGGTCACAGCCTAGCCTTGATAGTCTCTAAGCGCGCCATAACACTAGGGGAGGAGGGGCCGGCTGAGCTAATAAATGGGGGGGGGGGGGGAAGAGGCAAGGAAGAAATGGAGGAGGTGGGGGCGAAGATTTGAATAGGAAGGTAAAGCATGGTAGGGGGCTTAGGGCAAATAAGAGCGAACGAGGAAGCGAAAAGCGAGAAATTTCGCAGAAAGCGAGATAATAAAATCGGGCATAAGGAGCAAAGGAGTTTCTCCGTTTCCCGGCTGCCTCATCTGCAGCCTCCTCTCCTCCCTCGATTCCGACCGCCTGGGACAAGCTGTCCAAGCCGACAGCACAGGACGCTGCGCGCATCCGCCACCACAGCCTGGGTACCCTGACGTGCCCAGAGAGCTTTACGCACAGCGCAATAATCTCTTCCCGAAGGGGTGTTGTACCGAGGCACACCCAGGCTCGCTCCCTTGCCAGAGCCCAGAGGCTGAGCCCCAGCTTTTGGGAGCGGAGGGGGAAGGGTGTTTAAGGGGAGAGAAAAGAAATCTGTGCCCGGGTCAGAGCGCATGAGCAGTAGAAACAGGAGCTGCTGTGGGGGTGGGGGTGAGAGAAAACGCGCGCGCGTGCGTGTGTGTGTGTGTGTGTGTGTGTGTGTGTGTGTGTGTAGACCGAGGGACCCGCGTGCGGCAGGACCGCTCATCGCTGACGTCGGGCCGGGCCGTGGGCCAATGGGCGACCGAAGCAATTGTTTCTCTCCGTGGGCCCCGGCCGCGGCCCCGATTTTCTATTCACTTCCTCATGCGCCCTGCTGCTGCCACTGTAGTGCGCGGGATTTCATGCAGGCATTTAAAACCGAGAGAGGGAGGGAGGGGGAAAAAAAATCCCAAACCTTAAACTTGGGAGGGGGTAGAAACTTTGTAGAAGTTGTGGCTTTTTCTTTCCTTTTCTCTCTCTCTTTTTTTTTCCTCGTGGTTGGCCTTTCTCCTCCCCACTGTCAGGTGACAGTGGTGTGAGCGGCCGGCACAGGGAGCCCTGGGGAGCCCGAGCCTGGATGAAGCAGGCCGCCCTTGCCCATCAGAGCAGGACACTGAAATTAATATATATCGCCCGGGCGCTTCAGAATCACTACCACATCCAACATCACCCCTTCTATCGCCTCCACTCCCTGGGCAGGGCGCCGTGTGACCTGGAGCACCCCAGAGTGTTGTTTGGGGCGCTGGTCAAATCCCTTTGGAGCAGAGCCTGGGGCGGGAGATCCAGCTTCCCAAAGACCAAGCCTTGTGCCTCACACTGTCCTCTCAGTCTTCCCCGCCGCCACCATCCCTCTCCAGCTCTTGACACTACGGCAGGGGACTCAGCCGAACAGCAACCGCAGCGGACGCGTTTTGGCCTCGCACTGTCCACCAGATTCCCGGCTGGTGCCTACAGGCTCCCTGCCCCAGTGCTGACAGCAGTGCAGCTGGGCTGGGCCCTGCCCGCCCCCACCCCCCGCCCCGGGACCCCAGGGAGTGCGCAAACCAAGACACCTGTTCTCACGTGCGCTATTTATCTCGACAACAGGTAGCATCTCTGGACACCATGGGCCCCAGGTCTCCGCTGCTTCCTGCCCCTCGGTGTTTTCCGGCCTCCACGAGCAGCCTCCCCAGGCCTCCCCCAGCCGTCCTCTGAATGGACTTCTGCATCTGGGGCTCCCTGGAGACATGTATGCGCGGCCCGAAACCTTCGCGCCGGGGCCAGCGGCCCGCAGCGACGCTTTGGCGGCGGCCGCAGCTCTGCACGGCTACGGGGGCATGAACCTGACCGTGAACCTCGCTGCGCCTCACGGTCCCGGCGCCTTCTTCCGCTACATGCGCCAACCCATCAAACAAGAGCTCATCTGCAAGTGGCTGGCTGCCGATGGCCCCGCGCCCCCGCGCCTCTGCTCCAAAACTTTCAGCACCATGCACGAGCTGGTCACACACGTCACGGTGGAGCACGTCGGCGGCCCGGAGCAGAGTAACCACATCTGCTTCTGGGAGGAGTGTCCGCGCGAGGGCAAGCCCTTCAAAGCCAAATACAAACTTGTAAATCACATCCGCGTGCACACGGGCGAGAAGCCCTTCCCCTGTCCTTTCCCGGGGTGTGGGAAAGTCTTTGCTAGATCAGAAAATCTCAAAATACACAAACGAACTCACACAGGTCAGTATTCCGGCGCTTTCTCGCGCGAACCCTCTGGGGGGAAATGCCTGTCCTGCAGACAGAAATTTCCTCAAGTTCCAAAGGAGGGAAGGGATCCGGTGGGGGAGGGGCATCTTTGGTGTCATTTCCACAAGACCAGGGCATAAAATTTTAATTCTTTTCTCTTCTTGGGATCACAGAAGTTTCTAGAGGCTGAGTGAAGGGATAGTAGAGCAAGGTTTTCTGCTTGAGGGGAGCAAGGGTCCCTGTGCCTGGGCTTGTGTGTAGGTTAGTGTGTGTCTTAGGAAATTTGATTTGATTTCAAGATGCTTCGAAACAGTACTGCTCCCGAGAGTTAGTTGTACGGTTGTACAAAGTTGCATAAAGAATTCTCTCAGCTTCCCGGACCCTTTCGCAAATGTGTCACCCACCGGAACAAGGGGCGGGCAGGCTGTTTGGTGAGGATCTTTTGGGTTAACTTTGACCTTGTTCCCGAGCTTTGGTGGCTCTCCCTTGCTTTCGCGGAGCCCTACACTCATCCTCCTTGGATGTGATTTACTCCCGAGCTGTTCAGTGAAATGGGGACATGCGTCAACCACACTTTTGTTAGTTCTAGTTAGTAAAAAGAAAAGAAGCCTCACCAAGGGCTTGCAAAAGTTGAACTCCTCGGGGCCAGAAGCATCTCTAATGAGTACAGCTGCAAGGAAAAAGTTGTCACACTTTGGAATTGCCGAAGAAGTTACATTAATTAGCTTAGCAGGCAGTGTTTGAACGTCCCTGAATTGGTTTGTTTTGTTTGTTGCGTTCCTCCTCCCTCCAAGTTTGAGAAGTCAACACCCCACTCCACCCCCCAATTTGGGCTGCCTGAGAGGGGCTGTTCTAAGAGAGATGAGACGAAGCAGGTTCCAGCTGGCGCCCACTTTTGCTGTCCCTTGCTCACCCCTATTCTTGCTGAAACCCCATTCGTTGTTAAAGTCAAAGAACTCCCCAAGCCTGGCACTGAGAGAAAAGAGGCTGCTATACTCCGCCGCCTCCCGCAAACTTTGCCTTTCTCCGGGAAGGTCCCGGGCTCAGAAACCCCCGCGCTCTCGGGGCCAAAGTCTAGTTTGAGCCTGGAACTTAGCACAAGACTTCCTGGATCGCTTCCTGGGATCCCCATTCTTTCTTAAGCGACTTCCTCTCCCTCCCCCCGCCCTCACCTTCCGAGTTACTTCCCCGGAGGGGGCCACCAGGGAAACCTCATCCCGGCCGCAGGCCTCCTTCTCCGGGAGCACCTTGAAGGTAGATGCGCGGTCCAGAGCTGGAGAAGCAACTCATCTTTAATGACAGGTTTTTAAAACAAACTTTTACTGCTCTTTGCCGGCCCACTGTCTGAAGTCTGTGAAGCAGAAAATGATTAAATTCTTAACGCAATAGACCTACAGCAGAGAAGCGAGTCCGGCTGTCCCGGCTGGCTCCGGTTTGCGTCTATTCAGAATAGCAATGATCGGCGTCCTTTTCGCCGCAGTCGTGACTCATTACCGCCTGGGTTTGGGTTTTTTGTTTTGTTTTAAATCTACAGAGCCTGCTCCGACAGCCTTTTCCTTTAACAATACCTCCCCCCATCTCTCGCAAGCTATGAAAAGAGAAAGCTAAAAAAAAAAAAAAAAAAAAAAAAAAAAAAAACGTTTCTCAAATGGCAATAGACCTCACTACAAATTATTCATGAAGACAGTTCTCGATTCAACAGGAAAATAATTGCCTTTTCAAATATTAATGGCGTTTCATTTCCTTGAGTCGCGGAAGCGGCGAACGGGAGCAGCTTTCTCAGGAGTTGAGATTTTCTCGGATCTGAATCCCGGGCCTGACTTTGCAAAGCGGCAAGCCGCGCCGCGAGGTTTCATCTCGCCGCGGTCACGGCGAGGCTGGAACAAAGGTGCCGCGCGCGGCCAGGGAGGCCCTTCTCCTGCCCGCCGCCCCGCGCCCCCAGCTCGTCTCCTCGCCTGGGCAGGGGTCCTCCCCACCTTCCCCGGCAGCCGACAGACAGGCAGGGATCGCGATCCGAGCTAAAAGAAGAGAGAGAAGGCGCCTTGGCGGAGTGGTCGGGACAACCAGACTTAAGCCACAAGTGCGAGAAAATGGCGCTGGCCCGGCCGCCCCGTGCTTCCCCGAACTTTGTCAGGCGAGCCTGGCGCAGGGCCCAGGAGGAGGCCTTTCCGGGCTGCCGGGCCTCTGGGTGGAGACTCCGGCCGGGCTTCCCGACCCCGGAGCCCGGGCGCAGGCCGCTCCGGGCGCGAGGCAGGGACCTGGTCCAGCCCCGCTTTGCAGAGTCACCCACCCATCCAGGGCGCAGCGCCGGGCCCCGGGGAGGGGGAAGGGCGGGCGGCTGCGGACGAGCCCGAGGGGGTGGGGGCGGGCGGGCAAGTGGGGCGAGGAGACCCCGGGGCTCGCCGCCGCCCGGGAGCGCGCGGGGGGCGCGGCCTCACCTGGCCTCCCGAAGGCCGGCCAACTTGCCCGCGGCACCTCCGAGGCCCGCGCCCCCCGCCCCCCGCCCCGCTCCTCGTCCGGGCCGAAATCATTGTTTGTGTTTCACACGGATGTCCAACAAGGCGTTCACAAGATGGGATAAGTGTGTGGCGGGAATCCCCCCCGCCCCCGGGCGGGAGAGAAGGGCGATGAACTCAGATTCCGTGACTGCACTTTTCTCAGAAAAAAAAAAAATCGGTTTATTTTGCAAGCCATGGACTGCGTGCTTCTTATAATTGCTTTTAGAAAGGAAGACAAGACGGGAGGAAGGAAAGTTTTGGGTTTGTAGGTGCTGGTAGGGACCCGGAGGGAGAAAACAGGGGACCAGAAGGACCAGGCATTTATTTGTTTTGTCTTTCTCCTATTATTCCGTGAAGCCGGGCCGATGACTTGCGAAACAGCAGATACCAACATGTTCTAAAAGGCCCAGTGCCCTGGCAGTAACCCTGCAGAGGGAGAACCAGCGACCAGTTGGTGCCTGAGCCAGTGCCACCCAAGCTGCTGTCGCCGGGGAGGCGCGGGGTGTGCGCAAACCTCTGGCTCAGTCCAAGACTCACTAGGGCTCGAAAACTGGGGCTTTGTTCCTTCAAGCCTGCTCCCAAACGCCTGACTTTCCTGGAAGCGGTGGGAGAAGCGATCACAAAGACAGCTGTCTCCCCAACGCACCGTCTGCTCCATCTTACCTAGGAGCTAGGTTAGCGATTCCCTCAACCCAGAGGGTAGGGCGGCATCCATTTGTTTAAACTCTCCCTTCTGCCCGTCCACTGCATTTGCGCCTCCATCAGGGACCTACGCTTCCTGGTTCTCGGCTGCTTTTCGGCTCCACGCGCAGCCGTCTGCCACCTGGTTTGGGGCTGTATCCAGCCAGAATTTCCACCTTCACGTGGCCTTTCCTGCCTCCCTTGAATCTAAAGCGCAAAACAGCCTCGGATCCGAGCCCCTCGCAGTTCTACACGGGCGCCCCTCTTTCCCCGGAGTCCATTGAGGTCGACCGGGACTGGAAGACCGGTTGTAGCAGCAGATTCATGCCGAAGCCTCCCTGTCCCTCGTAGCCAAGGAGGACCTTCCCTGGTCAGGCCTTCAAGGCCCGACTGTCGGGCGGGGGTGGTCAGGGGAGGGAGGTTCGCCTTGCACGGTTTGAAATGCGCGGGCCCAAGGCCCAGGGCAGGGTCTCCCGGAGGCCGCCGGAGCAGCGTAATAAAATATTATTGCCGACGTTCCGTATCTGGAGGGATCCCGGACGATTTAGGCAAGATTTGAAGAATGCTGCTAAATGTTTGCCCTCAGGGGGTAGAAGGGAATGGGGGGGGGGGGTAGACTCCATTTCCTGCAAAAAGCGCCCCTGACGGGATCATTGCTCAAAATACCTTTCCCTGCAGCACAAATCCTCATTACGCACACACCGTGTGCATCGGTTGAGCATTCCCTTAAATTATTTCTTCTCTTTGGCACAAACCCTACTTTAGGAAACGATTTGGACAGAGATGAGGTGTGTGCGGAGAGGACCGCTAGACAGGGGAGGGGGCAGAGGCATTTGGCTCCAATTGCAACTTTCAATCCATTAGATGAGGGCTTCTCAGGCAAACGTGTTCTGCGGGCAGAAGTGCTTTTGGCTCGGAGTCGGTAAACATTCGGGGGGCGGGGGGGTGCAGCCCGGGTGTTGCAGGATTTTCCAGAGTGGAAACTCCACAAAGAGGGAGTCGCCGTCGCTCCTCCTCTCGTACCCTCCCCTTAGACCCAGGAGGAGGGGAGGAGGCGAGTGGGAGGGGGAGCAGGGGTGGGGGGGCGCCCTGCTCGGGGAGATGGGGGTGCCGGATCTCAGGCACAGAGAAGGAATTCTGGAAATCTTTCTGTGGTTCTAGCGGAGAAAGTGGTCGTGGGCTGGGAGTGGGGAGGTGAAAGCGAGAGCGAGCGGCGCGCGGGGGGGCGGGGGGCTCGGTCCACGCGCACTAAAGTCTCTGCATTGCCTCTGTCAGGCGAGAAGCCTTTTAGGTGCGAGTTCGAGGGCTGTGAGCGGCGCTTCGCCAACAGCAGCGACCGCAAGAAGCATTCGCACGTGCACACGAGCGACAAGCCCTACACGTGCAAGGTGCGCGGCTGCGACAAGTGCTACACGCATCCCAGCTCGCTGCGCAAGCACATGAAGGTGCACGGGCGCTCGCCGCCGCCGCCTAGCTCTGGCTACGACTCGGCTACACCTTCTGCTCTCGTGTCGCCCTCGTCAGACTGCGGCCACGAACCTCCTCCGGTGGCCTCCTCCGCGGCGGTGGCGGCGCGTGGCACCGACCTGAGCGAATGGTACGTGTGTCAGGGCGCGGGCCCTGTCGTGGCTACCCCTGCCGCGCCCCCCCAGCCCTGGGGCACCACCAGGCCTTGCAGCTGCCACCGCGGCCTCCCCTGTCGGGGCTGCTTCTCTGGCTTCTCTGGTCGTTGCTTCGGTGTGTACAGCTGTGAGGCTAGGCCCGTGCACTGAAGCTTGACCAAGGAAATGGAGAAAAAGGAGAAGGAAGAGGGGAAAAGGGGGACAGGCGGGCAGACAGGTCGACATAGTCCAAGACTATGCTGATGGAATGTCCGCCGTTTTAATAAATGATTCCGCCGTCAAACTCCCTCCCAGGCCCACTCACTTCCGCCCACCCCCACCACCACAAAGCTCTCACTGCTGGGTGGCACAAAATCAGGGTTACAGATCAAGAGAGAAATATACACAAAATCCACTCATTAAGAATGTATGTGCAATCCTGCAACTGCAGGCAGCAAAATTAAGGCCACAGCATCCAGGCGAGGTTCACGTTAGGGCTGTTCTCTGCTGCACTCCGGGCCACGTTCCACCAAGTTTAGCTTCGGAAGTTCAGATCAGAAAAAGAGGCAAGGAATCCCAGAATGGGTCTCATGGCCCATTTTTCTTTCTATTTTGCCTCCTTAAAGTTCTCCATTCTTTGAAACAAAAACATCCCAGTATTAACGTTTCCATCCACCTCTTTCGAAACACAGAAGGAGGGAGGGCCAGCCCCTTCTTCTATGGTGTGTCACACGTCCTCACTCACACCGGATCTGCTAGACCCACTGAGTCAGGCGGTTTCATGTGCCAGTGTGTCTGCAGACCAGTCAGGGTGTGCAATTGGGCAGGAAGAGTGAGTGCAGACAGGAAGTGCAGACAAAAGAGCATCTGAGAGAGGGTCCAGGATGGCAGAGTCCCTACCCTCTGCTCCTGTCCAAACCCTTCCGACCCAATGTTGTGGCTGCTCGGAATGGGGCTGTGCAGTGTGGATGACGTCACGACGGAGGCCTCTGCAGCGCTGGGGATTGAGCCCCGTCTGGGTGCTCAGGGTGCTCAGGGTGCATCGGATCAGCTCTGAGGTGGTCTTTGTCCAAAACAATCACACAAGGTTGGTCTTATTTTGAAAAGAAATAAACATGAGGGCAAGCGCCCATTGGATTGGATGTATATTTGATATACCAGATTTGAAGTTTCTAGAAGAACCAGATGTTGCGGGGCGGGGGAGGGGGCTTTGCAATTGTTGCCAGAGGGAGGGGGTCAGGACCTATTACCCAGTCTGAGATCTTCCCCAGGAAGGGTGTGACAGCTCCCAACTCCTAGCTAAGAGTTGACGGAGTAGTGGAGGGGAGGAAAAGAAGTGGAAAAAGAAATTAAGCTTTAGCAGAACCCGCCCCCCCACCTTTCAATTTCCAAAGAATTTGGGTTCTTGCTGGAGGGAACCCCTGAAGGAGCCCAGCAAACAAGCCCCGGCCCTGCCACTCACTCTGCTGGATTCTCTTCCCTTTCTTCTCCTGTTCAGACAATGAGCATTCTCACTTCTCGGCCCCCACCACCGTCCTTAAATAAAATAACGCCCTAACCCAAGCGGGACTTTTTTTCGTTTCCTCCAAGAACAACCGGAGTCTTCCCGAATTTATCCTTACTGAATAAGCAGCCAAGGCTGCAATCTTTCTCTACCTCGCACAACAATAGGGCCCAGGCCCGGCTGGCCCAGCCATCGACTTGTTCCCACCGTGAGACCTCAGCCAAGGTGCCCAGGGCAGCAGCTCGGGTCTCTCGCCGCTCAAGAAGCGCCCCCCGCCGCCCCCTCCCCCGCCGCCTCAAATGGGACTTGTCCCTTTGGCTCCTTTTTCTAGCCCTCTTCCACCCCCCCCCCTTTTTTTTTTTTTTGCCTTCCAGCCCAACCCAAGGTAATAAAATAAAATAAAAATGTTTGGCCGGCCACTAATCGCCTTTAATTTTTCATTTGCTTGTTACAGATGTCCACCGCGTTGCTCGCAAGGTAATCTCGCCCTGCGCAGCTGAGCGCCCACATCTCGCACCCGCGACATCAAAGGGCCCGCGCACAAAGCAGCGCTTCTTGCCACGGTGCATCTTCATGGTAAGTTAGGATTTCTATGGCAATGGGCAAGTCGCACTGAAATCCTGAAAGGCCGAGCCTGGAGCCCGTCCAGGCTTTTCATTAAGGACATAATATTTACGTCTAACGGGCCTTTTTTCTTGTGTATACAAGTATATATTTTTGTTTGACGCGGACTAAATCATTTTCATTTAATTTCCGGTAAACAAAACCCACGCGAATGGGCACTTGTTCCCGATCATAATAAAAATGGATAATAATGTGAGGGAAGAAAAGGGCCGCTTGAATCGCCGCTCAGCCCCTTTGTTTCTGCTTTCTGCGGTGATCAGAGGGTGCATTTGGGTTTGATGGCGAGTTTCTAAAGGCGAGGAAATGGTTTGTAAGAGGGGAAAGAAAAGGAGAAAGGTCTAATCAAGCTCGGGTTGTTCAAAGAGTCGGGTTTTGGGGTTGAAAGTGTGAGTTTGACGGTGCATCAGCATGCCGCGTTAGACTCGCCATGGAAATGCGCGGGGGAGCGGCCGCTTCAAAGGCGGCACACTTCACTGCAGACACTCTATTAAGATACATTTGGGCTGACCTTTGCTTTCACGCTATTTAATACTGTCACTGTGCTCTCCAGTATATACTTCCTCCCCTAGGACCTGCTTCGCCCGCCTTTAGGGGGTTCACCCTGCACCCTGATGTGTGGGGGCTTTGGCGCCCGGGACGCTTTCAGGAAAGGGGGGAGCCGGACTCCGTGCATCTTGACTGCGCCCCCAAAGAGGTTCCAGGGACGGGAGTAAATTACTTTAGGGCAGCATCAGTTGCTTCACAAAGGTGCACCCCCTCCCAGTTCTGTTTCCTTCAAAGCACCTCTCTGAATCCTGAGCAGGGTGGAGGGTTTGGATTTGTTGGAGATCGGGAGCAGGGAGGGGAGAACGGAGAAACTTTGGGGGAAGTGTGAGTTAAGACTACGCCCTGGGGACATTTTCATTCTGGCTCTCCAGCATCCCTCTCGGCCTCGGTCTCCTCCCCCCCTCCCGCCTCCGGGACGTTGCTTACAGTTCCCCAAACTTATCCTTCAGTGTGTGTTGGTACCCTCGGGCCTGGACTGGCCCTGGGCACGAACTCAAGGGCCCAAGGCCAAGGGGATGGGGAAGATGGCAGCAAAGTTAGGAGTCTATGTTCCCTTAATTGTCTTGTTGTTTATTTTATCCAAGTACCCTAGTGAATAGGGGAAAAATAAACATGGTGGAAAAAAAATCAAACAGTGGAGTCTTCTTTAGTGCCAGTCCTTGTGGTTGAATAAAAAGGATGGTCCGCTTTCTATTGAGCTGAGAAATCTTTGAAGTGGGGGTTATTATCTGAGACATTCCTGCTTGTCGTCCTAACAACGCTGATGAAACGTAAAAGGTTCTTTGTCAGCGATTTGTTCTCCTCTCTGTCAAACTCTCTCTGCCCCGTTAGTTTTAAACCGTTTCTAAAGAGATAAAATCAAACTTCTTCAAAAAAAAAAAAAAAGCCACACACTATACCAATGGATAACTTTAGGGCTGAGTCTCGGTAGGAGAAAAAACAAAAACAAAAGCAATCCCTACGCTTGGAGGGCAGGCCTGAGTGGAGTGTGCACATGTGGGACAGCCCTTTGCACAACTTCGCAACTTGGAGGTGGGGAGAAGAATGCAGAAGTGTGAGGCAGAGCGTAGAGGTCCGAAGTTCATACTGTGTGTCCGAGTCATCCTGCTCAGGCTGCACCGAGTCAGGGCAAGTGGCATCACCTGGATAAGGTTCCTTAGCAACCCCTCGGGCTCTCAGTATTCCGGCCTGGGGTCCTGGCACCGAGGGGCTCCAGCCAAGATGATTGTTAATATTTCCTGTTTCTTCAAAGGCACCGCTGATAAAGATAGACGCATTGTGTCTTTCTGCCCAATTGCAGTAATCAGTAAGCCCTTGCTGCCATTGAAGGAAAGGAGAATGGCTTGAGGGAGGCATTTTAATAAGTTTCCTGTTTGTTTCAAAAAGCTCGACAGTTGGGATTCAGAAGGTTTGGTCTACGTGAGAGTGAACCCAAAGCGCATGCAGATGCCCACTCTCCTTAAACATCCCCCACTCCCCAACCCACAGGTGCACTTCATTTCATATTGTCCCCAGGAAAGGAGCTTGCGCCCTGTTCAGGTTCCCCTATAACTGCTCTTGTAGTTTTAAAGGTGATTTGAATAAGCGAGGATGTGCTGTTCCCTTTTCTTCACCCTGTGTGTGCTGACTAAATGATTTGTAAAGAAGTTTTCCCAAGCTGTAACCCATGCTGTTATTATAGTTACTTCGAAGTGTTGTCTCCTATATTGATTTTGTTTACTGGAGGTCTCCATATGTTTGTTTATTTCACTAATTTATGGCAAAATGTAATGATTGCAGTGAATGTGAATTATACAGCCAAGCAACCGTTTTGTAGTCATAATTCACAAATACACAAAAGCTTGACTGAAATCTTGACTCTACCCACACCATTTGTAATGTATCATCTGTCCCTTTAGCACCAGTTAAATTATGAATTAACTTGAAAGGAAAAAAAAAAGTTGTTACGTGTTTGAACATGATTGCTGAATTAAAAGAAGTTGAAAGCTTAGGCTTAATTTTGTAAATATGTAAATATGAGTGAAATAAGATCTGTGATCCTTTCCTCCGAAGACCTTTCTGTACCGGGAGCTCCGTTTTGCTATCTTATTTGGAAATAAACGTGTGATGGTTTCCTTCTGCTTTGGGATCCTGGTGTCCTGTTATTGATTGCTTCATCACCCTGGGAAAGATGTGGGCCCCACTGGCCCCTTCCCCCTAACACTCCACTTTCTTCAAAGGTTACAGAAAGATTTCTGGGGTCGGTCTAGTGGTTTTAGAGAGCTAGCAGGACCAGATATAGTGCCCCACCTTGGAGAGCTCCCTTTGGCCTAATTTCACCCCAATGACACTGACAATGCAAACTGACTTCTATTGTTTAGGGAGAAAACGTGAAAGGACGCTTGGACTTTGGGGAAGGGTTGGTATCCTGCGGTCCCAGCTCAGCACACTCTCTCACAAACCAGTTCTGATTTCTTAGAGAAAAGTGAAGCAGGAACCACAACAGGGAAAGAAAAAGGAAGGGCACTTTGGCTCCAAGCTCTGCCTAAGTTCTGGTGGTTTGCCTGGAGCCCAGTGGCCAGCAAAACTCTCCTTAGCTGTATGGTGCCTCCACTGGGAGGAGCAGGTGGCCTCGGGTACCTGGGCTGCCTCCATTGTAGAAGAAAAAGGCATACATTTGAGATTGGGAAGCCACAGACTAGGGGACTCTTTCTTGGATCCCAGTTTGATTTTTGGTGGGTTTTAGCATTGTGGCATGTGCTCTCACATCTGACCCGATCGCTGAGGGACTTGAAACGTCAGGAACAGGAGACGCCTCCTCCCACCTCCACTGGAGCCTAGCGTGTCCTTTCGTTCCCCCTACGCCCACTGTTCAAACCCTACACTTTGCTCTTGTTGAACTCCTGAGGTGTCTGTTCCCCAGGAGCTTGGCAGAGCTGGGAGAGTGGCTTCTGAGATGGAAATGCTAGGTCTGCTTAGAGAACCTGTGCAAACAGGGATGGGGGTTGGGTGGGGAGCAAGGGAGGGCTGGCTGCGTGCAAAGGCTAAAGCGGAATGAGGTGATGTGGAAAGACGGCAGCCAGCCTTGAGAGTCAGGGAGTGGACCCCTAGACATTCGCCCTAGGATAAACGCCACCTCTGTCCTTTCACTTGCAATGCCTTCCTCTGGCTCAGGAATAGGGTGGGGCAGGCAGACTCTTCTGTGGCTCAGGTATTGCTGAATGGGAGTCCTTTCGTAAGCCCCTTTCACCGTCTGAAGCGCGCTGCAGTGGGAAACTGGAAATGAAGCCCGCACCTGCACTTCTCTGCTCAGGGTATTTCTGGGTCTCCAAGCCCTGGGTTCGATTCCTCTTCCTGGTAGCCTCAAGCCAGACAGGAACTACGGGGGTGGGGGGTGGGGACGCCAACTCTCCACCCACAGCTCCCCATGGAGCCCAAGGAAGCTCCACCAAGAGACCAGGAAGTCTGTGGGGGAAGCAGCTCCTGAGGTCCCACACCTGAGGCTGGATGGACAAGATGAGAATCCATGCTCTGAGGGGCGCCATGGCACTCAGCTACTAGCTGAGCTCAGACTTCCTTCTAACCTTTGTATTCTGTGTTTTTGGCAGGTTGAATGGTGTCACCTGACAGAGAGGTGGAACTTGTCGATCCTGGAGTGTCTGGCTCACCTCAGTTGTCCTCTGAGACAGCTAGCTCTCACCCAACCCGTGCCAGTGTCTGGGCAGCTTTGGGGGGCACCCAACCTGCAATTGTTCTTATTGATGTCTTTTCTCTCCTCTTCTCTATTCAGAGTTAGAGCTCAAGTGCGTGATGAGAAGACCTTGGACTGGGGAGGGAGTCTGCCCTACCAGTCCATCAGCTGACCCTGTGCCCCTGAATAACTGAGAAAATCATCCTGTGATTGTGTTTCCATGAGTGTAAAATAAAATTGCAACAATCCCTCTTCACATTTTCAGAAACGATTATCTCCAATGAGTTCGTGTTGTTTAAATAAGTTACTCCTGGAAACATTTAGAACTCCAGTGCCAGTGATTGCTGCATGCGCTCCTCGGGTAATCTCTGGCTCCTCACTGAATCTGATGAATATCTGTGGACTCTTCTAGATGAGGTAGCATCCTCAGGGCCTCGAGGCTCTCCCAGCAGCACCTGTTTCCTTCAGGCAGCCCTAGGAATGCTGAACCGCTTCCTCCTTTGGTACATGAATTTATGCGGAGCGTCCCAAAGCCCAATGCGGACAGCACTGAGGTGGAGGTGTGATTTATTTTTTAAAGATCAAAGGGAAATGAGAGGAAATTATTTCAGTGCACAATAAAGCCAAAGAAACGGATTGCCTTCATGCCGCCCTTATGACTTGTTAAGACACTGGCAGTGCAGTAAAATTCATGGTCCATCCAGCACAGATGTTGGTATATTTTTGTTGTAAGTCTTTGCAGTTTCTGTGCTCCGTGTTGGGCTTCTCAAGGCTTGCGTGTTGACAGCATGAGGGCAGCAGGAGAGCTGAGAGGGTGAGGGCAGAACTTTCAGCCACCACACACACACACACACACACACACACACACACACACACACACACACACACAGAGATGTTCTTTTTCCAGTAAATCATCAGGATGTTCT